GCGACGGAATGAATCCACCCGCGTGCAGAATTAAGCTAATGAGTTTTTGACTTTACCAAAACAGATCGGCTTCTGCCCTCTCCTTTTGGATGGGACTTTGAAGAAAGCCTTCTGTGCGTCCTCCACTTCTTCATCCGAAGCGAAAGATGACTGGATTGGTAAGGTGAGTGACGCCTCGGTGCACAGTACGTGCCATGGGTTGGTACCTGCACTAGAATCATTCTCTATTTGTTTATTGTTAAGAGAGACATCAGACAAGTACGCTAAAATGAAATCTTCATTAATGCACCACTCGCCCCCACTCGGTACATCATTATTACTCTCACCCTGACCCATTACATCAAAGTTTAACTCCCAAGGACAATCTTCATCGGGGTCTGGCTCGATGTCAGCTTCATTACCGCTGTCCACATCTTCTTTCTCTTGGGATTCCAAATAGAAGACGGAGTCGGTGTGGAAGTTTTCTACTCCTCGGAAGGGGTATTTCTCTGCGATCAAGGTTCTGACTTCGCCCTTGTCATTGGCGTACTTCATAACCTGATGCAAAGTAGATGGGACAATGCGGTTTGCATGTATCCATGGTCGTCCTAGCAAAAGGTTGTAGGACGTGTCCGCATCTATGATGTAGCATGCTACCTCAGACTTGAGATCTCCGATCTGGCATCTGAGTTTAATCTTTCCCAGGGGTCGGGTACTGTTTGCATTGAACCCGAAGATTGTAGTCTGGGTGGTGTGCAGCCGGTGCATGGGAATCCCTAGGACCTGCATGACCCTGTAGGGCATGATGCTGAGTGCTGAGCCCGGGTCAACTTGAACACGACTGATTTCGGAGGATCCGATATATCCTGTGTAGTACAGTGGTCGGTCATGTTCATGTTTGACCTGCATGTCTTCTTGCGTGAACGATATGCAGGGTAGACTTCTCGCCGCTTGCAGACATTGCAGACAAGTTTGATCATCAGAGGCTTCGGGAGCCGGGGTGACTTGGGTGATGAAGCTCTCTGTATTCTTCAGGGCTTCAATCAGAGCTTCCTTGGTAGTTTTGGATAACCTTAGGAGCTCATATAAAGTAATCCTGGCCGGTATGTTGGCCAGCTGCGCCATGACGTTGAATTGGAAGGGAGCGCTCGACTCTCCAGTTTCCTGGTGGAGATTTCTGTGGAATCGGAGCTCCTTCTGTTTTCCTTTGTCTACTGGCTTTTTCGGAACAGAACCCCCAGCGTCTTGGGGCTGTTCCACGACCTCTGGAGCGTTCTGGCCATAATCTCTCAGGTAAGCTTTTCCTGACCGAGTGCCAGGATTGCCTTCTGGGTATGCCGCTAGAACAATCCTCTCCTCTTCTGAATCAGTAAGAGGCTTGAGGTGGTCATCATCTTCAGTAATGGAGGGGCTAATCATGTTGGAAGACTTAGCCTTGCCTCCCTTCTTTTTGGACGGGGTGTTCGTCCATTGTTGATCTCCTAGCAGATCAGGGTGGACCCACATGATTTCCCCTTTTGGGGTAGTGAGGGGCACCAACCCCCTGTCCTTCTGACTATGCAAGTCAGCATTCTTCAGACGTATTTCTCCCTTGCGAATGGGGACGACGCCGTCCGCCGTTACTACCGGGGGAAAATCACCAAATTGGACCGCTATCATATTAGTAGATACGGTCTTCTGCTCTGGCTTCAGTGTGAGCACATTAGCGTTCACCAGATTCTGTAAGATGTCTTTGAAGACATAGCACTTTTTGGTAGGATGTCCAAGGAATCTGTGATAACGACAATAGCTGGGGTCATCTACTTTCCCTGCTTCATCCGGCTTCCTGACCTCAGGCAATTGCAGCTTGTTGTTCTTTCGAAGCAATTGGAATAATGTATCCACGTGCTCCTCTTTGAACGAATACTGCTTGGGCGCTCTTTGCTGATTTGGCGCTTTGCCCTGCTTGTTCGGCGGTGGAACTCGCGTGTAGTCGGCCGCCAAGGTCTCCTTCCCCTTAGACCGTTGGGCGTTGTTCTGGTTGCGTTGCTGATTTTGCTGCTGCGGCTTGGGTTGTGGCATTTCTTCGGCTTTGACCCGTGCCACTATTTCTTCAGCTTGTTCTCCTTGTGAGACTAGTTGTCTCCAGGAGCGACATTCTGCCACCCCCATTTGAGCAAGGAGCTGGGTCTGCAGGTTGTGCCTGCAAGTTTCAACCAGAGTTGATTGGGTCATACCTGAGGGGCATCGCAATGCCATGCTGCGGAATCTCTCCACATAGGTTTTGATGGACTCTCCTTTCCTTTGCTTAGTGGCAAGAAGAGTTGGGACCGAGACCTCCGTGTCGTCCTCAAAGAATCTGGCCAAGAATAGCCTTTCCAGGTCTACCCATTTCTGAATAGATCCGGCAGGCAATTTCATGAACCATTCGAAGGCGACACCCTTAAGGGTACCGATGAACAGCCTGGTCAGGATGGCGTCGTTTGCTACTACATCCCCAGTTTGGGACTTGAAGTAGTAAATGTGCTGATTTGGCGATCCTGTACCATCGAACGGTTGTAAGGTAGGGGCCTTAAACTTCGGTGGGTAGGGAGCTGTATCCCACTCAGCAGGGTAAGGTCGCACTACCCCTTCCTCGCGGAGCTCGCTTCTGTTGGCGATTGCGTTAAGGCGAGCTTCCAGCTCATCCATCTTAGTAGATTGAGGGTGCAGTTCTTTCTCGATCTCCCTCTCACCCTCGGAAGAGGATCCCAGGTTGTGAGTCTCACGGTCTGAATATTCATGCAGTTTTTGTTTTCCCTTTGAAGTTGTTCTCCGGGAAGATTCAGGTTTGTGGCCTTTTTCAGCAAGAAGCTGAGCCAGCATATCCTTTAATTGGAGAAGTGTCTCTTGTTGCGCCTGGAGCATGACATGATGTTCGTCCACTCTTTTGGCGATGTCTTCGTGATTCCCTGACATGTAAGCGGAGACCTCGCGTGCTCCAACAGAGCTTGACGATTGAGATTCAGCTATTGCTGAATGTTCTTCACTTGTTGTAATGCCTTTGGCTAACTTTTGATAGTCAACCGGGCGAATAGCTCCTGTTCGAGTCCGAGTATTCTGATATACTCCTTCGAACTGGTCACAAATTTCTCTGACAGTCGAGTGATGACTCTCTTGTGACTCATCGGAATCAGTAGGCAAGGCTTTCCCTCGGCCGATCATGTTGATAGTGACCTGAGGGTATTCCGCTTCAACTGTCTTCTTTCTGTTGCGGCGTTGTCGTTTGGCAGGTCTAACGACATTCGTCAACCTGTCGAATACAGACTGCCGAGGTGTTGTTGCACAACAAGAGCATTCTGACAAGACTGCCGAGATAAGCCTCTCACATTGACATGAGTGAGCTGCTTGCACTGTTGATTTTCCTCTTGACAATAATTCCCGCAGATCAGGAACTTGGGAGGAAACTTTCCCCGGACTTGGAGGTGGAGTTGGAACCCCCTGCCCTTGGGTAGGTGAGATTGGTTCTTGTCGAACGTGAATTTTAAAGCCACGCTGACTTTTCTGAACCTGACGGACCTCTTGAAGATCGCGTTCCTGAGAAATAACGCGAGGGTCGCGTTGAGAGTTGTAAACACCAGGCCGAGGCCTGCGTTTAAATGATGAACCTGACCTCTGAGGGTCAAGTTTTGGGGTGCAACAGACTCCTGAGAGTCATGCTTCGTTTGAACGCGCACCTGAGGGTCGCGTTTAATTTGTGAAACAGACTCCTGAGAGTCATGTTCAATTGGAACGCGCCTATGAGGGTCGCGTTTGGTTTTGGCAGCTCCGTTCTGAGGGCTGCGTTTTGAATGAACAACGCGCCACTCAGGGTCGCGTTTGAGCTGTATCAGCCTAGGCTCATAGTTGGGCTCATTGCCACGCAGTGAGCGTTCTTCTTTGGGGAAGCCAGGTTCGGTTGGATCTTTAGAAACGCGATCTTCGCGTTAGGCTAACAATCGGCTTTCTCGTAAGTGTGCTCGTCGGATGGATCTTCTCCGTCGGCGAGCGGCGTTCTTCTTG